CGCATGTATCCTCGTCTCCTATAAAAAATGAAAAAAATCAGTGTTCGTCATTGTAAATACGGGAATATATTAAAAGAGAAAATAGAAAAAAATTTACATGTTCGTCATGGAAGATGATTTGTAACTTGAGCATCCATGCCGTGAGAGTGTTATCAATTTTGTCAATGAAATTCCACATCATGGTTTGTGGGTTTTGGGACATTTAGATCACTCATGCTGTGGTATGTGTTTTGAATGGTGTGTATGCTCTAAACAAATTCGGATATATATATATATATATATACACACACACACACACTTGGGCTTGGAGGCAACTTAAACTATCACATTTAATGTCCATGTACTTAAAGATTTTTTGAATAATTAGATTAAGATATGGATTAGACATAAAGTTAATAAAGTAGATTTATTGGATCGAGGTGCTTTAATAAAGTAGATTTATTGGACCGAGGTGCTTTAAAAAAGTAGATTTATTGGATCGAGGTGCTTTAATAAAGTAGATTTATTGAATCGAGGTGCTTTAAAAAATTAGATTTATTGGATCGAGGTGGTTTCCATCATTCCTAAGCTGACGTATACGCCTACATTTACACGTTAATTTAGACAATTTAATTGCTATAGGTTTGGCCCATGTATAGCAACCCACTCGGCCCATTAAAGGTAGCCCACTTAGCCCAATAAAAATAGGCGGGAACACTGTTCATAAATTTCACCTAGCATTGTATATAGTAGGATATGTGTTTTTCTCTAGGATTGGTTATTAAGGTATTGCTCATGAGTAGTTTTTAATTTATAAGTTGCTTATTAATACAAAAGAAAAATTTGAAGATAAATTGATATAAATAAGTAAGACATTTGAGTATATTCATAATATGTGAGAGATAGTTTTGTAAGTAATCTAGTCAAAACAGAAAAATTAAAAAAATTAGTTTAAAAATAAGTAAGTAAGACTGTTGGATTTTAGAACCCGGGACCTAGTAGACTAGGTAGAAGAGTATCGAACGAGTACCGAGTGTTTTAGGTTGCAAAAGTAGAGAAAAGTATATTAGCTTGGTCGTAAAAGTGAGCGTGTCTTTTCTCCTCTCGGTATGCCTGCTGTTTTTGCACGGTATGCCTGTCATGGTAGCCTCTACCGACTGGTGATAGGTACTTCCAGAAGAAGGTTGAGACGAGGAAGGTGGCGGTACCAACCAAAACGCCTGCTGTTCTTGCACGGTATGCCTGTCATGGTAGCCTCTACCGACTGGTGATAGGTACTTCCAGAAGAAGGTTGAGACGAGGAAGGTGGCGGTGCCGACCTACCGTCCATCGCGACTGATACTAGGTTCCTGCACCAGCTCGATTCGCGTTCAAAAGCCAACAACGTTTCTTCCAATTCGACGTTAAACATGGAGAAAAACACATAATACACATCACATAATCTTATTGCACCAATCATACGCCTAGTTCACGAGTTCTACCCGTAATTTCCATCAAAACCCGAGGAAAACTCAAATTAACATACTCCCTCCGTCCCTGAAAACCTTTTTCCTTTCTTTTTTTATCCGTCCCAAAAAACACTTCTTATTTCTATTAAAAAGTCACTTTTACCCCTTACTTTTTCATATCCTACCTATCACATCATACCTTTTTACTAATAATCTATTTATCAAATCATACTTTTACTCATCACATCAAAGGACATTTTTAGAAATTCAATACCAAAATACACTCCCCTTAAATCCCTCTTCAAAATCAAAACTCTCATGTTTTCCGTGATGAAGGGAGTATCATATAGGTTTTTCATGCAATTCAATCGCTATAGTGATTACGAACATAGATTTCAACCTAGTTACTTATTCTAATGTTAGGGTTTTACGAACTAACCTCGAGGCAACGAAACTAAACAACGAACGTAAAGTTTGAGCGGCGGAAAAAAGGTAATGGCAGCGGCAAACCCTTCCCCTTCTCCTTTTCTTCTTCTCCTTTTTCTCTTCTTCCCTACCCGTTCATGCGCTGCTGCTGCGTCGCGAGATAGAGTTGAGAGAGAGAGAGGGTGAGATGTGTGGCGTGTAACGTACACACGTACGTTAGGAAGAGTTATACTCCCTCCATCCCGAAAAACATGAGAGTTTTGGTTTTGGAGAGGAATTTAAGGAGAGTATATTTTGGCATTGAATTTCCAAAAATGTCCTTTGATGTGATAGATAAAAGTATGATTTGATGGATAGATTATAAGTAAAAGGGTATGATGTGATAGGTAGGGTATGAAAAAGTAAGGGGTAAAAGTGATTTTTTAATAGAAATGAGAAGTGTTTTTTGGGACGGATGAAAAAAAGAAAGGAGAAAATGTTTCTAGGACGGAGGAAGTATATGTTTAGGGATTTATGCTCAGTAATTTAACTAACGCACCTTGGCAAAAATACACTTTTCGGGCCAACTTGCTCCGAATTCAGATCCATTTGAGCCGTTGGATTCGTCTCGTCGAACCCCACACAACGATATAATTCTTATGATTTATTGACAAGTATGTCTAATTAACTCTAGGTCCATCTTAATAATTAATTAATTATTTTCTAATTAATTAATTCTGATAGGCCGGGTTTCAGGGCGTTACAAGGATTATTTTTTATGAATTTTTGTTTTTTCTTTAATTTTTTTGAAATTTTCATTTAAATTTTTGAAATTACTTTCTACCTCTATTTCATTTTTTTAAAGATTGTTCTTACCTTAGAAAAAAATAGATATAAAAAACAATGAAAATGAGAAAAATAACTAAAGTCTAAAGCCATAGAAAATTAATGAAATAAATAATATGTAATCAATAGCAATTAAACTAAAACTGGTAAGAAATAAAATAAATATATACGGAGTGGTGGTTTTAACATTTTACACATTATACGGAGTTTTAATGTACTACTTATTTTTTAAAAGAACAAGCTGTGCGGTAAAGTTAGAACTATTCTAGATAATTATTTCTAAAAAATAAAAAGTGATACGTTAATACTTTGTATAATGCGTAAAATATTAAAACTCACCACTCCATATATTTTTATTTTATTTATTACTAATTTCAAGTTGGTTTCTATTGATTACCTTATGTTATTATTTTTGTATCATTTTAGTTACATTTCTCATTTTTTATTTTTTATATGTATTATTTTTATTTTTTTAAACTAAGACTTATCTTTAAAATGGAAAAAGAAATGATGGAGATAGAAAGTAATTTTAAAAATTTAAATGAAAAATTCAAAAAAAAAATAAAAAAAAGGAAAATTTATCAAAAATAATCTCAACTTTCATTTTGTTGCGTAAAACGGGCGTTTCCGTTAACCCGTCGTTAGAAATTTAACAGCGACCCAAAACTCGCAAATTCCAGTAAAGTTCGGATTATTATGCATCACACTAAAAGATGAGATTATTTTTGAAAAAAATTCTATTTAACAATTACGTTAAAAGATTTACAAAATTAAATTTGAGGTGACATGACTATATTATTTTATCAAATAACTAATGAAAATAGGAAAAAAAATGAATCAAGTTTGACAATGTGAATAGTAAATAGACAATTTAATTTGGGATGGAAGGAGTTTCTTTTAAAATAAAAATTAATATTTATTCTTTTTTTCATATTTGTATTTCATTTTTTTGTTATATTATTTCTTTTAATATTTCTATATTTTATTTAAAAGAATTTGTTTGATATTTTGTCCCATTTTATTTGTTTAATTTTTCTATCATTCAACTTTTTACCTTTGTCAAGAAAAAACAAAGAATAATAGAAAACACATTATTGCACAATTAAAAACAAGGTTACCACTAAGATTTTTAAAATAATTATACACATAGGTTACAAGTAACAGTAATTTGAATTTCAATTTGTGTAAACGTATTTTAATTTTTATAGCATACCAAAAAAAGTACATTAATTTAATGATTATTCGTGAAGCTAAACCATCAACCTTCACATAAGATTATAAGATTATGAAAGAAAGACCAAAGTAAGATTAAACTATTAAAAATATATCAAAATAGGAATTACATATTTTTATTTCCGAAATAGGACTAAAAATGCAATTACATTACCAAACATGGTAATGTACATTACCAAAATGTATAGTAATGTGTACATGCACAATGTCACATTACAACCACATTACCACAGTGTGAAGTCCTATTTCAGGAAAAAAACATGAAAATTATATTTTGGTACTTTCCTCAATGTTTTAGCCCTATTTACAGTGATTTCTATAAGATTAATGACCTATGTGGTCGGGACTTCATGTAAAATTGCCAGAAAATTACTCGCGGGTGACGCGAGTTTTGCCTAAATAACTTTCAGGTCCCTCTATTTTCAAAAAGACAACCGAGGTCCTTATATTTTGTTGTAATGACTGTGAGGGGACATTTCATCCAATACATCATCCGTAAGTGTTAATAAATGTATTTTTTTTCCTATTTTTCTAATACCGTTTTTTCCTATTTTGCCATTACCTTGTTTTTTCTTTTTTTTTTAATTTTTTTATTTCATTTATTTTAATATAATACAAACAATTTTGAATTTGTATACGATTTTATAGAAAAAATTCTAAAATAACACTTTAAAAAATAGTAACAAAATGAAAGAAAAACAAAGAAATAAAAAAAGGAGCGACCTAAGATTTATTACCTTAAAACATTTAGAAAAGAATAGGAAAAAAATACATTTATTAACGTTTATAGATGAAATATTGGATAAAATGTCACCTTCCAGTCATTACAACAAAATATAAGGATCTCTGCTGTCTTCTTAAAAATAGAGGGACCTGAGAGTTATTTCAACAAAACTCGCGTCGCCCGTGAGTAATTTTCTGTAAAATTGCCCTCTCCCAGCCTTGTTTTTCTCTTTCTTACTCCATTTTTTACCCATCCCACCCACAAGTAGCCCCCAAATGTCAAGGTAAGGTATGGTAGGACCTCTCCCCTACGCCTCTCCACTGCCATTGAAAAATTTGTACACTCGAATCTCAAATGCGTGTACAGTTCTATAAATACCCCTCCTTCCTCCCTTCTTCCCCCCTCCCTCCCATTCATCCTCCAGAGCCTCTGTCTCTCCACATCGCTATCTCTGCAATGTCAGCTTGCAGGGCGGGCGACCCACGCATCCATGGCATCCAATCCAGTATCCGCGTTGTCCCTGACTTCCCCAAACCTGGTAACTCCATCTTTCAACCAACATTTACATGTTCCCCGATGGGCCTTTGGCAGTTCGGCCTTTCTGTTCACTTCTTCTTGAAAAAGATCAAATCTTTACCAAATTTGGTGAACAGTTTCGGATGATTTTCTCCTTTCCCAGTCTGGGTGATGGTGGGATTCGCTCAATTTTTCGAATTTAAGTGATGGGTTGGACTTTTTTTTGTTTGCAGGAATAATGTTCCAGGACATCACTACACTGTTGCTTGATCCCAAGGCCTTTAAGGATGCCATTGATTTGTTCGTTGAGCGCTACAAAGGCAAAAACATCACCATTGTCGCAGGTAAATGTCACTTTCCCCCCTTCTCCACACCCCCAAGGTTAATAATGAAGGAGGTTTTAAAAAATTCAATCTTTGTCACGTTGGGTATGCTTTTGGGCTTGGTGGTAGTTTTCTCACTTGTCTTAATGTGCTTCTGTGGTGCTTTTTGCTTCTTTGCCTTTTTCTTTCTTTACCCTAACCTTGTTATGTTCTTCATTTGTTGTGCTCTGTGCTTTCTGTACACACCCTCCTCACACTCTACTCTAATGGAATTATATTGGGTTCTTTGTTGTTTTTAATAGCATGTTTATCATTAACTTCCTAGTGTGTGCTTACTATTCAAATTATTTGTGTGGGGGTGGGGGTGGGGGGGGGGGGNGGGGGGGGCATATTTGGTTTTGGAGGTGGTGGTAGTTAGTGATTGATGGATGATAGGTTGCTAATATTAGCCAGAGGCCCACTAGATGTAGGGGCTGATCTTTTCTATGTATTCCCTTTCTTCTCCATATGTTTTGTTTGATTGGTTCTACCCTCCCTCACAAAAGGAAGCTTAGATGGCAAAGAAAGGAAAGGGTAAAAATAGGGGTAATGATGTAGTTCGACTAAATCCAACGACGATGAAAATCGATCATGTATAACATGGACTCATGTAGTCATTGTACGTATTAGGACATATTTCGCTCTTGATTTGTCAAACTAAGATTGTAGCTAAATATACACCGAGATCCTAAGGCCGAGGTTCATCTTTTTCTTAAAATGTGAAATCTCTCGCCGTCTAGCCCCCCACACCTCTCCCCCATAGGTTAGTAGAAGTTTTAATCATAATGACTCAGTTGCGTTTAGGTAGTAGACCAGTGTCTACAAGGAGCACTGTTATTGTTTTTTAGGATCTAGTGTCCTCATTTTTCTTGGATGATCATGGAAAAAATGCGCATTTATTGTTTCTTTTAAAAACTAATGTCTTTACTTTTCTTGGATAATCATGGAAAAAATGTGCTTTTATTTTTTTTCAAAATCTATTGTCTCCATTTTTCTTGGATGATCATGGGAAAAAATGCTCATTTATTGTTTTTTAAAATCGCGTGTCCTTACTTTTCTTGGATGATCATGGAAAAAATGCACTTTAATTTTTTTTTTTCAAAATCTAGTGTCTTCATTTTTCTTGGATGATCATGAAAAAAATGCATTTTTAACACCTTAAATATAGTGTCTTCATTTTTCTTTAATGAACATGGCAAAAAAGGCACTTTTAGAGTCTTCATTTCTCTGAAAAAATCACTTTAATTGTTTTCCAAATCTAGTGTCTTCAATTTTCTTGGGTGATAATGGTAAAAAGGCACTTTTATTGTTTTTAAAATCTAGTGTCTTCATTTTTCTTGGGTGATTATGAAAAAAAACACTTTTATTTATTTCCTAAAAAAGATCTGTTTGAATTTCATGTTTTTGGTTAAATTTGTGGCATTGGGTTCCTGGAATCATGGACTGATTTTAATAATGATTAATTATTTTCTGGGATACACAGAGGACAGAATCCAATAGAATCAGCATCTTCTTTGTCCTTTTCACTGGCAAATTATTTATTTTGGTTTTTGTGATGTGCTCTTTTTTTTTGTAACTTCAAAAAAAGAAAGAAAAAGAATAGCTGTGCTGTACTATGTCAAAATGTCAAGTGGTGTATTATGTTTTTTTCTAAATTCTTGATTAGATGATAGTAATTAACACTAAAAATGATTCTTTTCTCTGTTTAATGACTCTAATCCCTACTCAATACTTAAAAACTTCAACATTAAACTTCTTACTTCTTAATTACTGTCACAAACTTTGATTGTGCAGTTAAAGAACTTAAAGTTACCAATAATATCATTGCTAATTTATTGATTGATTTGTTACACTAGGAATTGAAGCCAGAGGCTTTATATTTGGTCCCCCAATTGCTTTGGCTATAGGGGCAAAATTTGTTCCATTGCGCAAACCAAAGAAACTCCCAGGTACCAAAATAATGGGGATTTTATATATTCTAACACCGACTAAAAAAATATTGAACTGAATTGAAAAGTACCGAACTTGACTTCACCGCAGGGGAGGTTATCCGACAAGAGTATGAGCTAGAGTATGGACGCGATTGTCTCGAGATGCACGTCGGAGCGGTGGGGCCCACGGACCGTGCCCTGGTGGTTGATGACTTGGTTGCCACCGGCGGCACTCTTTGCGCCGCTATGGATTTATTGGGTATTTCTTTGTGTCATTTTCTTTGCAGCACTACTGTCAATGAACTAAGTCAACCAGAAAGTCAATATTTTAGATCAAAGTTTTGTTCCTTGTTCCAAGTTGAATTGGACTTGTTTGGTTTTTATTTATTTATTTATTTATTTATTTATGGTTCACATGGTGAAAGTTTGACTTGATACTACAATTTGTACAGAACGTGCTGGTGCTGAGGTGATTGAGTGTGCATGTGTCATTGAAATTCCAGTCCTAAAGGTGTGTCTTTTTTTCCCCATTTTAGTCCTTGCATGGCACATGCTTTCCTCGGTGATTTTTCAAATGACCCTTCTGTTTATGAGAAATACAAATACGCCCTTGACTTGATGGGTTGGTTAGATTTTCTTCTTTATGTTTTATTTCATCTTTTTTTTTCTTTTATTTTTTTGTAAACAATCTTTGTTTCTACGGAGTATGTTATGGTTGGATAGGGAGTAAATTTCATAAATGGTCTCCAATTTTATGCAACTTTTCAGATTTAGTTTCTATTTATAAGATATTTCATAAAAGACTTTAATTTTTGAAAACTATTCCATAATAGTTCTTTTAACCAAATATGACTATATATTTTGAGTAAATTCTCAAAGTTATTCATTCTAAGAAGGGTTTTTCCAAACATTACTAACGTGGTTCTTTATAATAAAGATATGTTTCGTAAATAGTCATTTATAAAAAATGTCTATTAAATGACTGTTAAATAGATGATATTTTGATGCTCTTTATTATCTAACCTATGAATAAATAAGTCCTGAAAATGATTTTTTAAAATTAAGTGGGAAACACATCTCAATTATAAATGAGTATTTAGAAAACACATCTCAATTATAAAGTATCACATTAGTAATTTTTTATTATTGAAGATTACTTTGAGAAAAACCTTATTATAAATGATTGTTTTGAGAATTTATTCAAAATATTTTGTCATATTTGGTGAAAAAGATTATTTCTGGAATAATTTTCAAAAATTGATGACTATTTATGGAATATGTTATAATTGTGGACTAAATTTAGAAAAGTGTATATAATTGAAGACCATTTATGAAATTTACTCTTGGATATGATATGAGTTCCGAAATTTAGAAAAATGGTAGAGTTTTAAAATTTAAAACAAAAAAATTTGGATAGATTTGAAATGATGATTATTAGTGATAAGTGGTGGGTGATTGGGGACAAAGACTTGATAAAGATATCGAATTCTTGGATTGATATTTTCAAATTCGGGATATATCAAAACTTCTATTTAGGAGAGTTGTGATATCTATATCAAATCCAAACCCCAAACACTAACAAAAGAGTTTTTTTCAAACACTATTAACTTTATTGCAATGTAGTATTTGTTTAGATATATATATATATATATATATATATATATATATATATATATATGTACTTTATCAACCTACTGAAGAATAATGAGCCAACTCGTGGCCTTCCCGTTTAGGAGAGTTACAGTGATACCGTTGAACCAAAAGGGTTTTAATATATGGAAGTATGACCAAACAATGCATTTTATTGTCCATTAGACCCCAACTTTTTGTGATTTTTTTGGCGTTGATCATAATGAGGACTTTGGTGTTTGGTTGTTTAGGGTCGAGAACGGTTGCAGGGAAAGCCATTGTACGTTCTTATCGAGACATGATAGATGCCGGCCATCCAGACACTTTGGAATGAGAGTCTGTAATGTAACTAGAAGGCTATTTGTTCATGTTTGTGTAAACACCTTATTTTACAGAGTTAATTTTATTTTAATTTTAAAAAAATATATTACAGAATTCATTTACTTCTTGTCTTTGTTAATGACTCAACTGAATCATAAGCTCAATTCTTTACTTGAAAGCTCATGATTGATTATATACTCTAACATGCCCTCAAATGAGTATTATTACACGTGATTATTATTATTTTTAGTTTAAATCTTACACATGAATATTATTTTTTTTTAAGAAAGAGATGATAGTGAGATTTGAACTCGTGACTTGTAGGTTAGGTGAAACCTTAAAGAAGGTTTTTATACTCTAACACTATTACTATGAGATGCATGTATGCATATGAGACAAGGCTAGTGGTAAGACTTTAAGAGAGTGAGATGTTACATATTATTTCAAGTTTTACACCTTTTTAACGAAGATTACTTTCTATAGAGTATTAGTGTTAGTGTTTTTAAGTTTTGTAAGTAATACAGTTATAGATTACATATAAAAATGCTAAAATTAAATGTTGGTTGCCAATTCGGGCCAAGTATATGTCTTGCACCGGTTTTATTGTTTCATTCTAGCATTTTGATTTTTTCGTAACATTTTTAATGTTTAGCTTCAATGTTTTAAAAAATATTATTAAATGCAATTTTAATAAAATAAAGAATGAAATGATTACCTCATTTCTAAATGATCCAATTGGGCCTAGAGTAAAATTCAGATGGCTGTAAATATTTCATACTCCATATTTGATAAGCTTGGGCTATTGGAAAAATGTTTAATCTATGACTTGATGCATAGATTAAAAAAGATAAAATTTTGTGGTTAAAAGCAATGCAAAAAAAGTTAAGAGCCGTTAAATTTGTTTTAATTGCTTGGTGTTTGTGTGTGTCTGTTAATGTTTGAGGTACAAATGGAATATTTCATTCTGGTGTACCTCTAACATTGTTCTTGTTATGTTACGGAGTATTATATTTTCTTCGTCCCTAAATTAATTACTCCGTACCTATTACGTAGTTTGTTACTATTCTGGCTCCCAACAACTTTGTTTGTATATGGAATACACATATTTTTTTAATTCCTCTTTTTGTTCCAAATTAATACTCATAGTTTGACTTTGCACGAAATTTAAGAAAATTAAAATTGTGTAGTTGAAAGTAATACAGTTGAGAGAGGAAAAACTGTGACGCAAAAAACTTCTCAATAAAGGAAAATCGGAAGATTAATTTGGAACATCACTAAAGAAAAATAAAGAGAATTAATTTTGGACGGAGTTAATATTTGATAAAATTATATATTATTAATTATCTCCTTTTTTGTACGAAGTATAACTTTTTTTTAAAAAAAATTAAAATAAAAAAGAGAGCTATGAGTGTAATGGGCTTGCCAACCCCAATATCGGTGTTGGGCTTCTCATCTCTCTCGGGTCACTCAATTGACGTCTGCAAAGTCGCGGCGGGTTCTTCACCATTTCTCGACGGCAAGCGGAAGAGATAATGGAATCCGAAGCACCGCCGCCGTCACAGCTGCTCCGCCGTCTAATAGACTTCGACACCGAGCTCTCCCTCCGTCTCTACACTCTAGCCCACCCAATCCTCCCCTACTCTCTCCTCAAATCACTGGAAATCTCCGGCGACGGCCGTCTATTCTTCCCAGTCGTAATCTCCCTCCTCCTCACGACGACCGCCGCCACCGCCTTCCTCATCAACCTCCTCCTCGCCGCGGTCCTCGATCTAGCTCTAATCGGCCTCCTCAAGCACCTCATCCGGCGGCCCCGACCCGTTTACAACCAGAACATGTTCCTCTCCTTCTCCGTCGACCACTGGTCGTTTCCGAGCGGGCATTCCTCCAGAGTCTTCTTCATCGCCACCATGTTCTACCTATCGCCCGATCTGGTACAGAGATCGCTTATTGAAGCCGGGTACGGCTCGTATTTGGGTCAATTCGTTCACATTGTCGGAGCCTGGGCAGTGATCACATCGGGTTCTAGGGTTCTTCTCGGCCGCCATTTCGTGCTCGACGTGGTCGCCGGAGCTTGCTTGGGCGTTCTGGAAGGAATTTTCTCGTTTCAGATATTCAATTATGGGAATTTAATGTCGTTCGTTCATGAAAGGACCCCCATTGCCACTAAACTGTAAGCTTTGTTTTTTTCTTTCTTTCTGCAAAATTTCATTGCCATTGAACTGATTGATGATTTCATGGGGTAGAATCCTGTAACTTCGGATTCCTACCCGGGTGGTGGCGTAGTTCAGATGGTCAAGAGGTTGTGCGAAAGGGATATATTTGGGTTCCCGAATTCGCACGAAGCCTATAAAAATGACCATATATTATGCAAAACGAAGCGAAAGATTGCCACACTCTAAATTTAGCTAAATTCAAAATACCTCTATTTCAAAAAGATTGTCATATTATGCAAAATGAAGCGAAAGAATGCCATTTTTGAATGGGTAAAATATGACATTTTTTTTAAAAAACATAGGGAATATGTAACTTGGATTCCTTGAACTGAGCATGGAATGCAGATCCCTTGCATATAGGGTTGTTAATCATTCATCTTGGCTTTGGGATCCTCAAACACACTTGCTTTGTGATTTTACCTTCATTTACTTTTTCTCAGTGGACAGTACTAAAAAGACTGGAGTTTGAACTTTGAAGTTCAACCCTTTTTTTATGTAACTTTGGATTTCTTGAACTGAGAATGTAATCCAGAGTAGAAATGGGCAAGAATTTTTATCGTGTTGTCTGGATTCTAAAATCTCGTTTCCGTCTCTATAATGTTGCATTTTTCTAGGGAGGATAAAATTTTGTCCCGAACTTGTCTGAATCATTATAAAATGAGACTGGATCGAGGCACATAAATATTTTCTCTTTTCGTCTTGTTGTCCCGCATGTATCTGTTATTTATATAAATGATATAACACGAAGAAATATCGCTATATTTATTTTTCCCAAAATAGATATAAATAGATGTATAGATTCAAATATTAGTTTGCATTACTTTTATAGAGTAAATTCCCAAAAAGATACTTAATGAGATGATACTCTTTAATTAAGAATAATGCTCAGTTCAGTCATCTCAACTAACAGGCGTTAAAACGGTGTTAAAACGACGTTAAACCTCATACTACTTTCCCAAAATGATACTCTCAAACTGGATGTTTTCTTAAATTGGTCCATTTTTGAAATACTCCCTCCGTCCCGGTATAAGAATAGTTGTTCGAAGCCTCACTCGTCATTGCAAGAGATGATACTCGACTCTTTCACATGATGATTCTGGTTGGTTAACAGATGTCACATTAGCCTGTGACATTCCATTGTATGACTTGTCAGTGTTTATGATCTAATACCACTTTAATGCCCCAAAATTCCTCCTCCATTTGGAGCACCCCCCCCCCTCGGGAAGGAATTGTGTTTTCCATCATTTTCGTATATTGTCTTCTCAATTTTTTTTCTTCCACTTTATTTTTTTCTCATGTCTAATCAAACAAGAAAAAATATTTTTTATCAAATATTCTTTTCTTTTTTTTCTTTCAAATTTCATGAATTAAAATTATTTTTGAGGCCGGCTAGAATATAACTCGCGCACGTGAATTAGTCATTCGAAAATTGAAATCTAAAAACAGTTGATGTTCTTATCATGGGCCTCTTTCATGAGGCCATATGCGATAGTGGGCCTTTCAAATATAACAAGTCTTGTTGATCATTTTTAGTGTTCGTATGGATTTTGGCCCAACTCATGGTAATTTTAGGAGTTTTGTTAAATGACAATTATAACTGGCAATGATGTTGGTCATATGAGGTTTGGTCTTTGGGTTTGAAATGTAAAATGTATGTTCCCCATTTAATAAAATTGTGCGGTTAAAAGTGAGAAATGAAAACTAAGCAGTTAGAGGAGAGAAAAATATGAGCTACAAATTTTTTTCAAAAATAAAGCGTTAAAATTTTTCAATCAAATTGAAAAGGAAATGCAAGACATTTTTTTATGACACTGGAAGTATTTGATTTCTCGATATATCACACAATATTACCTTTATTTAAACTGGGTCATCTTATATTCGATTTCACTTTGGGTTTTTGTTTTTTTCACACATGGTTTGGAGCCATCTTTTGGGTTAAAAAAATAGAGTCCCACACTTTTTGGATCATCGAGGACATTCAATTAATTATCTCGAATTCCGCCAAGAGTGTGTAAGAAAGTATAATTTTCAGTACAAGAACAAATACTAATTATCTAACAACTATCTAACACAAACAATTGTTGTCTGTGTTTCCTAAACACTTCTGAAGCATTTATTTCTTTGGTGGGGGCAGTCAATATAATGTGAGGACATGAAATGCCACAACACAAGTGGGATGGGGGGGTATGGTATATATAAGTCAGATGAAAAGACATGTGGGGATCATTTTTTGGTGTTCATGGGGAGCAAAATGTTCTATTCTCTGTGGTCCTTTGTTGTTGGATCAATTGAATCCTCTTACTTCCTTTCACACACACACACACACACACACACACACACACACACACACACATATATATATATATATAAAGCATATATAGCTTCCTAGATTCACATTCTAATTTGTGTCTTTTTTTCCTACTCTTTCCTTGTCTTTTCTTTTTTTTTTTTTAAAAAAAGAACTTATATTGACCATGAATGTAAAAAATTGCAAAACCCTGCTTGTTCGATTTCTGGCAAATGCAAGCCGTTTGGCGATAATTAACCATGCTCAACATGTTGTCCTTATAAGTTTATCTTCATCACTCAAACTATGACTAAAATTACTCTCTCCGTCTTATACATATTTTTCCATATAAGAAATGACTATATATTCACTTCTTGTAACTAAATACTCTTTTTGTGATATTGGCCAATTTATACGATGTATCTTTTTTCCATTTACTGCACCACCAACGGTAAAAATAAAAAAGATAAATGTAGTCTAATACCTATATCTTACACTAATTAAAAATCACGCTAATAAGTCAAAATGAGCGAAATTTTTTTTAGACGGATTCTATATTTATTCTTTTCATCTAGCTAGACGGTCTGGTCGGATCTGGGGGCACTTTTTATTCATTGGCATCACGTTATGGTTGCAGAAGATAGATGTGGTCCTGCCCCTATACCTTTTGTTGATATATATGAGCTGAGGACCTATTAGCAGCTTGCTTGCATGCATAATTGTGTATATAAAGGACGTACATTATATTATATGCCACTAGTGTTTATGGTCTTCATGCAACTTAAATCTTTGTTTATATTTGGCTTGCTGGCTGGTCTCCTCATCTCCCACTTATAACACCCTACACACACTGTACCTGAATTTGACATTAATGTCAATAATTTTTGTACCTTTTTTAGTTTAGTCCATTAAGATAAGTAGACCACATATGTTACTCTACTCCAACACGGGCAACTTCATTCATTTTCAAAACAAACAAAAAAAAAAAGAAAAAAGAAAAAAGGATCATGAACCCCATCCTAGGTCCCCTGGACCGACGTGACCAGTAATCTGAACAGAGATAATGATAGAATTTAGGATGAGTATGGACAACTGGATTGGGCAATAAGACACTTGTGTTGAACCACTTTAAAAGATTGAATCCAATCAATTAGTTGGTTCAACTCTAGAGCTTATATACCGATTATTTTACTCTTAGATTTCCGATGTGGGATGTACTCTTACAGATAAAATTAAGCTGTAATATAGGGCAATGCATCTTCGAAAAAAGGATGAACCCCATTCTTGGGTCCCTCTGTACTAGTCTGGACAGCAATCTAGAAGAAGATAATTAAATTGAGCTTTAATCTAAAGCAAGTGCATTTTCTGCTCTCCACACCATGGTTAGGTTAAGAAATATATCTCGTTCACGCGATTCAATCTATACTACTCTGTAACTATATAAGGATTAAATTTACAATTTGATTAAGTGCTAAAATGCACAAAACAACCTTTGACGTGTGTTACTTGGGGAGTAAATTTGGAAGAGGGCTTAACTTTGTTGCAGAGTTAGTTTAAGTCCTTTTTAATTTCTTTGCTATTTACTTTCAATTATTGGTGCAAGAATGGTAATTACTACTCCCTCCGTTTTCAAAAACTCTTCCTCTTTCATTTTTTTTACTTCCAACAAAACACTTCCACTTTCTATTAAAAAACCACTTTTACCCTTACTTTTTCATACCCTACATATCACATCATACTTTTTCTCTAATACTCAATCCATCACATCTTACTTTTACCCATCACATCAAAGGCAAAATTGGAAGTCAACTATAATTTATCACTTCCTTATTTTTACACAAAGTCAAAATAAGAACACTTTTAAAAAAGGGAGGGAGTATAAGAGTATAAGACTGGACCGGAGAAAGTTAAAAGATGGACCGGAGAAATTTTATAAATGGCCCACGGCACTGTCATGGGAGGATGATAATGTGACATTTTGAGTATTTTATAGGTTAAGAAAATGTGACACTGAGTTGGCATTTACATTTGTCACAAGCCAAAGATTGGTTCATCATGCATGCAATTCTTATCATGTTCGATCCGTTGATAAAATTGATAGTTTCTACTCTTGATAATCCTCCCTGCATCCCACCCTTGCTCTCCATTAGATTACCAATTTGGGCAAGCCTAGGGTACCTAGCTCGGCACCGGCCAAGACAATAGGTTGGGAAGATTCCAACATTGTGGGGACTACACGTACCCTCAACCCAACTCCGCATTAGTATGATATTGTCTGTTATATGTCAACCATCATGGTTTTATTTTTGAGCGCCTGCCTCACAAAAGGCCTCATACTAATAAGTTGCGTTTGACCTATATGTATTTTGGTCCATCTCTATCTATCTCTCTCTCTCCTCTCGATGTGGGACCGGAAGGACATCCCAACAAACATAACTATAATCTGGGTCTGGTCGAGAGTGAATGAATCTGTTCCCGATATGTGCAAACACTCAACATTACATTTAGCACATCCATTCTTTTTTTTGCCATAGAGACCATCCAGGATTTAAACCCCGCGTCCAATGAATCGTCTGCGGCACTATCCTCTCGACCAGTTGAGGTACGCCCCCACCTACCCCAAACTCTCTTTTTCTTTCTTGGGAAAGGAAGGAGAGAGTGAGGGACACAACTGGCAATTGCAAGTGAGACCCCCACATGGTAAGGATGCACAAGTGTGAGTCCACGTGGTGGTTCCTTGTCACTCATTCATTTGTTTCCTAGTCATTTACTACTTCTCTACTTAAGTTATTACTGATTGATTTTATTTTATTTTTTTTTTTTTGGTGGGNTTCATAAATTCATCATGCATCCACTGCAGTATGTAAGTATGTATGGATGCATATCTACTGACTTCTACTGGTTAGGAGTAACATCAATACTAATGTGTTTTAGATTATTGGATTCTTGGAGACGTGACATTTTTGCCCTTTCTTTACACTTTGCATCATATATACATATGAGAGAGTAGATTTGCAGTTTTTTTTGGGCATGTGCCTGAGAAATGGGCTTTTTGGCATAAGTTT